CAATCGCACTGTCTCTGACACACCCATCCCGATTACCCCAGTCACTGAATCAATCCACCTCATAGAGGGTCTTCCCCTCCTGCGCTGTCCCTCCACTCTGCCCAGCATGATGTCCCTCTCTAAAGACCTGTCTCTCCTAGTATGTCGATATTTATGGGTTCAATTTCTTCCTTAACAATATCTAATTTTCCTACATTCATAGTTCTCACATTGCATATTCTAACCACTAGTGTCAGCTTACAACTGCTCCTCTTCCTTAGTAATTCCACACATGAAAGTTCCACATCATCCGATCTGCTAGTCTAAGTGTGTTCTATTGTACATGGGGTTTTTGAAGTCCTGCTATTTCAGAAGTGGATGGCCCATCCTTCTACCTAGTCTGTCTTTATCTGAATGCTCAGATTTAGAAAAATATCTGACAGACATGCCTTTTACAGAACAATGCATATGAAAGATCTTTCACAATTGTAGAAATAGCCAGTAGTTTTAGTTTTGTCCCTGCCCTTGACATGAGTCTCTGACCCATCACTTCCTTACTCCCCCAGTATTCCTTTCTACTTCCACCTACTCCCTTCAGCACCTATCTCCTTCTATACCCCCCTTGATCTGATAGCTTATATTTCTAGCTTTGTGGGTTTCTGTGTTTGCAAATTCTTCAAGACGTTGCCTATTTCTTATGCTGTGATCAGTGTCTCTTGAGTTTAGGGGTATGTAAGTCCAAATACAAAGGTCTAATGTTAGGGAAACTTTCTTATTTCAGATTGTTCTGAAGAAAAGTCCTTTCCCTTTAATTTCTGCTCCAGGTTTAACTTCTTGTGGCTTGGGCAAGAATTATATTGCTATGTGTATAGTGACGTACCTGAAAGAAGTCAGCGAAAGAGAGTTGAGGTTTAAAGTTATAACTTTATTCAAGCAGAGCTCCTGGGTGAATCCTCTGTCCTGAAGAGACAGAGCAGAGAATTCACAACCTTGCGGGGTTGGGATGGGGTTTTTATAACGGGGTCTTTAGGAAGAAGGGAGTTGCAGTCCATTTCTTAATTTATGGTGCATGGTTGGCCAAGTGAGGTTGGCAAGGTCATTTGTCTACCTTATCAGCAGCAAGCTAGGCCATCCAGTCTGAAGTCTGCATTCTTGTTCTCCTTTCTGGCCTCCTTGCCCTGGCCCAACACTATGTACTGTCAAATCAAAAGTAACTCATAACTGACTCTCCAGCAGGTTTTCAGTCTTAGTAAATCACATAAGAGGTTTCCAATCTATAGAGGAATATATTGTTTGGGAGCCTGGGCTTTATGAAAAAGAATGTGACATCCCGATTGAAGGAAGACTCATCAACTACCTGAATTATGAACAGGAAATAATCTTGCTTGTCAAAACTGAGGAGGATTCAAAGCATTTGCTACAGAAGTTATTGAGTACTGTAGTTTTCAATATGGATTTCAGCTACACATCAAGAAAGCAATGTTTCTCACCACTAGGCCAATTGGCAGCACTTGGTAGCTGAAGTGAGTGAGCTGATGTCAGGATGAAGGAATGACAAAGATTAAATAGGGATTTGGACAGTTGAAGAGCTAATAGGCAAAAGTAAATCATAATCATACAAAGCACAATGTAGGTGAATAACCACATAACACATAAAATATATGAAGAAACTCAATGTATATGAATGATTGTGTACAAAACAGTAAAATTTTAAAAAGGAAGAATCAAGTTAGAGAGAGGAGAAAAAGCAAGAGAGTGCTGTTGTTGCTGCTGTGCACTGTTAAATAGTATATAACTGACCCTTCAGCAGGTTTTCAGAGTCAGGAAATGCATGTGAAAAGATTGCCCATCTCTCTTATGTAGCAACAGATATAAGTGGAACACGTATCTTTGGATAGGGAATGTTAAATCCTTCCACTGAATGAAAGAGCTTCTTAATGTTAAATATTTCCTTGAGCAATTATCAGATGGAGGATGCCCAGATCACTACAGGAAATTTGCCTTTAACCCACATCTGCACCTGCTCCTGGACCAGAATCTTGTGGACTCTTCTCTCACAGAGAGGTTTCTGTCTAGGTTCACATTGAGTTTCCTGCACTGTGTCTTTTGCACAGTAATACATGGCTGTGTCCTCTGTTCTCAGACTGTTCATCTGCAGGTACAGCATGTTCTTGTTGTTGTCTCTGGAGATGGTGAATCGGCCCTTCACAGAGTCTGCGTAGTATGTGTTACTGCTTTTGTCACTAATAGCTGAGACCCACTGCAGCCCCTTTCCTGGAGCTTGGCGAACCCAGCTCATGGCATAGCTACTGAAAGTGAATCCAGAGGCTGCACAGGAGAGCTTCAGAGACCCTCCAGGCTGTTTAAGGTCTCCACCAGACTCCACCAGTTGTACTTCACACTGGACACCTGCAAAGAAGAGTAGTAACATTCAGGTCAGGAAATCATTACACAATTTCACCCATGCCTATTCACATATACTTGTTCTCTATTAAATGACCTTTTAAAATGGCAACAAGGAAAATCCAGCCAAGTGGAAACATAGTGACTCCTCTATGTTCAGCCCTGGTCCCTGAGTGAGGAAATCTGAGATTCTGGGGCTCCTCTCCCAGAGCTGTAGTTATGGGGCTGGGCTGGTTTTCATCAGCAGGAGAAAGAACCCTATTTGCATGTGCCCTTCCTGTGTATTAATAGGATGTGGATTAGCATGACCTGGAGTGACATGACTTTGTGTGACCACACCTCAGAGCAGACAGGAATGTCCTATGGGCCTTTAGAAAATTGAAGATAGCATTCTGAAAAAATTGTTTCTTATTTTAATTTTTTATACAATTTGAGTATTATTTTACAGATTTTTCAATCAATATTGAAATTTATTGATTTTTTTCAGTCAATAATTTTTATACATTTTTTATTTGTGACAAAGATTAACATTTCCTCCTTGTCACTGCACACTTCCAACTTTCTCCCCATGATTCTGAATTTTATTCGTTCTTTTCCCCTCATCCTTCCTGCATTCTGAGTTTTATACCTCAGCAGGTTCTATCTTTTTTTTTTTTTACTCTTTTATGGTTGATCATTCTAAGAGTGTGTACTTCCTTGGTATTATTGCTTGGCTGTAAGTTGAGCCACAATGGTGAGTTCAGTTGTAGGTGTAAAGGATTACTATAAAGCATTGAATTGTCATGATTCACCTCTCTCTAACAGAAATATAGTTCTTGCTACTTTTGTGAATTTTGGTTTTATTCCACTTTTGACTCACACTTTGTCCAATATGTTCTAAACAACGTGATCATTTCAAACTAATCAGCAGTAGCAGACAGGTGCCATTTGTGTTTTCCGTCTTCATGATCAAAGAATTTGGGATTATTGTGTACTAATTATTATTGTGAACTAATTATTTGATTTCAACAACCATTTTCTTTCCTTTTTATTTCTAAACATGTTTACGTATTTATGAAAGCATCAGTTAAATAGATCTGAACAAAAAGGCAATTTTGATTTATACTCATTTTTTATAGACATTGCAATTGAAGATTGTTGTCATTTAGTCCTTTTATTTTTTTTTTCCATTATCTTCACTGTTCTTCATTCTAGACAGATAGAGACCTTTAGTCACATCTCAGAGACTACAAAGTTTCTAAGACCTATGCTAAGGCCCACCAATGCAGGATGTAAAGTCTCCAGAGACTTTTGTCCCTGAGGATGTGTGACCAGAAGCTCATTCCCTTCAGGTGTTTGGTTAAGAAGCTTACATTAGGTTGCCCCCTGGTGGCTCCACTGTATGCGTGGATACACTAACAGCATGTGCAAATAAAAAGTAGAAATGCTGTGTACCAAACATAAGAAGGATCATAAGTTTAATCCCTTTCACCTTCATATATTTCTTGACTTCCATATGCTTATATACAAAATGTTTCTAATTACGGATATTATGAAATCTCATGTGTAACACTACATGTCTCCATCTTTATCTTCACTTCAATGATGTTATATTGCTCACCATTTCATTGAATATAACATTCTTTTCATCCAACTTCATAATTATTTACTATCTAATTAAAGAACAATGATTCAATTGTGTATAACATGCTGAGCTGCTAATTGAATTGATTATTTTGTGGAGAGTTTTTTTCTCCTAATTTCTGAATTGTTAATAGCAAGAATTTACCAGAAGAAAGATGAGGCTGTCTTCTCTGTCTAAATTATATCATCTGTAACCCAAGAGAATATCCATGAGCTGGAATCAACTTGAGGGGTATAGAGGACTCTTTAATCGACTAATTTCTCTCTTTCTTCTCCACCTCTTCCCATCCCCAGTAAACATCAGAGTCTTTCTTGTGATGTGTAACATTTCCTTAACTTTTCATAGTAGCGTCCTAGTAAAATATGTGTCCTTTTGTAATGATTTAACTAACTAAACATATTTACTCTAGATTACTCCATGTTATTAATGGTTTGAAAATTCTTCATTATGCTGTAATACTGCATAGTTGTCCATTGTTTATAAATGCCAGAGTTGTTTTGTTCATCTGTTAATGGCTCTATGGTTTTGGGGTTTTGGATGGATGCAAAATGCTGTAAGAATATGATATACATGAATGTGTTTATATCTGTTCAAGTGGTGTCACTTACCACTTTATGACATACACCTAGTAGCAGGGAGTTCTGGTGGCCTGTAGGTAAGGTGCTGTGCTGCCAACCCAAAGGCACATAGTTTGAATCCACCAGCTGCTCTACAGCAGAAAGAAGGACAATCCCCGCCTGTGGGGTTTTCTATCTCTGAAACTCCCTGGAGGATTAGCTGAGTTACTTTTTTTATAATCTATATAATTTTAATGTCAATTTCAAGAATGTAAATGAAACCGTTTGTAATAAACATACAATAGCTTACTTGCCATGGGAACATTAAACTTCTTTTTGAGGTATGACAGTCCAGTTGTTTTATATCTCCTTTTTTAAAAAAAAAAATAGTTGCCTTCTTTTAAAAAGAGTACATCAATTCTCTTTTAAATTGTTGCCAAGGAATTTTGTAAACTATTAAGTAAAAGGAAACTTGCAGCTAGGAATTTTGCTAACTATTTTAGATAAAACTACTTGTGAGTGAATAATTCGTGAGTACATCTAGCCTTCAGCTATCTCGAGTGTTCAGATTATTTTATATGAGTCACTTTTTTT